TGGTATTATCAATAGTCCAGAATTTTGTGACCTCATTACAGGCAAAGCACCATAGCTGCTGCTGACCCTATTTGTGCTTATTTTGCCATATGTACTGTATCTGGTTTAATCACAAGGTGGTGTAATATGTGCACATCCAAAACCTTTAGGCAGGTGCTCAATCACATGAAACACTTCACCTATCAATAAACAAAAATCGGCACACTGCCACTAATGCTCTCAAAAATCAGCGACTGGATTCATCTGAAAGAAGGAAGTCATATACACCTAGGATGGGTGAGTAAATAATGGGCTAATTTTCATTTTGGGTGAACTAACCCTTTAAGCAGCAAAAACTGTTTTTAGCATTGATAATAAGAATAATAATTGAGGACCAATAATAATTGATAATAATTAAACAATCAGCATATTGAATGATTTCTGAAGGATCATGTGATATTGAAGACTGGAGTAATGATTCAGGTAACAATTCAGCTTTGCGTAAAAAGAATAAATGACATTTTTACAACATATTTAAAAACATGGAAAACATTCAAAATATATCATTGCTGAATTATGGAAAATATTATATAGTAATAATATTAAATGTATATATTAAAATGAAATATTTAAGTTATATGTAAATTACATGTTAATAATACATTTTTTACATTTTAAATATACCTTAATTTAAAGTCTGGTTAAGCCTTCATGCTAATTATTTCAAAATGCAGCCAAGTAATGAAAAAATAAAACCCGGTTGATTGTGCATTATGTTTACATGATCTTTTAGCTCCTCAAAATCAGTATGAAATACTCTTGGAGTTAAAGGCATAGTTCACCCAAAAATGAAAACGGTCATCATTTACTCACCCTCATGTGACAACAGTTGACGGTAGCCATTGACTTCCACAGTATTTTTCCCAGATTTGGAACAATTGAGTGTGAGTAAATGATGACAGGATTTTCATTCTTGGCTGGACTATCCCTTTAAATCATTTTCACTTGTTTAAAATGTCTGTAAACTCAAGGTTCATTGTTGTGATTGTAGCCTCAGGAGCGCCGGTTTACCTGTACGAGTTCCAGCATCCTCCCAGTATGATCCAGAAGAACAGGCCCAGCTTTGTTGGTGTCGACCATGCAGATGAACTGTTCTTTATCCAGGGCACCTGCTTCGCTAAAGCCCACCTCAAAGCAATCGGTAAGACTCATCATTACAATACATCCTTTACTGACACTAAACATTTCTGAAAGCGTCTTAAATAACCGATGATTCAATCCTCTTAGCTCCTTTCACAAAGGAAGAGGAAGAGCTGTGCAGCACTGTGATGGCCTACTGGGGGAACTTTGCACACACCGGGTAAAATATCGCTCCTCTTGTGTGTGTAGAAGAAAGTATATTGTTTCTGCACTCTAATACAGCTATTTTTGGATCGGCAGGTCTCCAAATGGTCCGGGCCTGACACACTGGCCTGAATATGAGGATGAGGCTGAGTATCTCGGCATTGGACTGGAACAGAAAGCTGGGAAGAACCTGAAGGGGAAACACTATGCATTCATGACCAAGACGCTCCCAGATCTCATACGTCAAAGCCGAGAGAAAAGAGAGCGCTCAGAACTGTAATCAGATCAGATATTAACACAAAGCACTTGAATATATGGATGACACAAAAAATTAACTGTGATTCAATGTAAGAATTTAATTAATTAACCTGAGAAAATCAAGAGTATTGAGTTTATTTTGGTGTTAAAGTTCGAATTTGATAGAAAATGTATTATTTGATCATATGACAAATAAATGTCCAAGCAACTAATGCTTCATAGCAAATTAGCTCAAGGGGAAATGTATATAAATAATTAAAATGATAATTAATTACAATAATTTATATCAGCTGCCAGTATAACTATAGCAGAATTAATATTACCATCAACTAATCTGTTTGCCCAGCAAACCTCCAGGGGGTCATTGAGCCAATGGTGACTTAAACTTTCGGAGGGAAAGTTTACGACTCTTTTGACTTCTAGCATGGTGTTTTGCATATGTAACTGGATTGGGTGTTGGTGCAAAACTATTAAAAGATTCTTATAACACTGATAATGTTGCATAGGTATCAACATATAATATGCACTCTCATTTAGATCATCAAAGTACGAATTCAGAGATACCAAACGTGGTATAGGTGAGGCTACATTAGCTAGTGTTCCTATCATAAGCATGCACAATACAGTATACACTACAACAATACAAAAGACACTATACAAGAACAGTAATAATACACACACACACACAATGTCCTGGAGATATGCATGTCATTCATAAAAGGTTTTCTATGAGAGAATGGGGAAGAGTCCTGTTTTATGGGCATTATGTGTCTTTCCTATGTGGAAATGGAGTGAGAGTTCCATTCCTTTGAGCAATAAAACCAGTGTCATCAGATGATTTGTCATTGCTTGTCATGGTGACCAGAGGCCTGTTCTGCTTCAGGGGTTGTCCACAGAACTCCAACACATAGTTTGGTTTTGAGTGATGGGGTTTGCTGGATTATTCATTAAATATAATGAATAATTGTGTGTCTGATTGGTTCAAATGCTACAGCACTTAGAAATAAAAGTCGGAAAACATTCATGTTTTTCCTCCATTTTATTGAGAACAAACGAAGGCTAAAGCTGCAAACCTCCCTGAATTTGAATGCAACGGGGTGCATACTAGTCATGAATTTGCGCTTTGAGATTTTCTAACAGGCAAACTTACATGGACGACAATAATTCAACTATTGACAATATTATGATTGAGGGATTGACAAATAAATAGTGCACCAGCTAATTACAAATAAAAAACAAAAACTCTTCCTGCAAGCAACCGCTTATATTAGAATCTTAATATTACCATAACCACACTTTGAGAGATCATTACACTTGTACTTTTTGTGGTTTAAGTGGATCAGCATGAGTGATGTTGACCTAATTAGAATAGAGTTTTTGTGTGCATGCTAGTTTATGCTGTTTTCATATAGTCTATGGCTATGAACTAATGGATCTTTCCTCATAGTTTTTTTTTTTTTTTTTTTTCAAATAGCTGATTAACATCAAATGTACACATAAAAAAAACTTTCTGACAATTTGTGTTTTACTTTAAATATAATTACAAAATAAGGAAATTAAAGAACAGCACAAATGTATAAAATACAGTTTTAGGCACAGTGCTTTGCTAAATTTTCATTGTAGATAAATAATGGAGAGAAACTCAGACTTCAAGTCAACCTAAAAGCATCTAGGAATCAGTGAATCAGGACCCTGATCAAGATGTAGTTGCAAGATGTAGTTGAGTTTGTTTCTTCTTCGGGACAGATATGGATCTAATGGATCCTCTGCAATGAGTGGGTGCCGTCAGAATGAGAGTCCAAACAACTGATAAAAACATCACAGAAATCATCACAAGTAATCCACACAACTCCAGTCCA